GAAAATATAAAATTTTTTTTTTGAAACTTTAACATTTGCTCTACAATTAAATCACAATATAAATTAATAATTTTTATTTTTATTGAAATTTTGGTTTTAATTAATTATTTATATGTTATATTAGTGTTATTTTTTTTAATATATGATTTGAGATTCTTATCTGCTGTATAAATCAAATTTAAAGTTAAGTAGATGAGGTTTTAAATTTTTTTTAAAAATCAATCAGACCTAGGAACAACCACATCTATCTACTACCATTCCTGGGAGCAGACCAAAAACAATATTCAAATTATTATCGAAATATAACATAGTAATTGAAGACAATTTTCGTGGTGCGCAACAACGACCTGCAGTACTAGATGGTGGGGTTGCGAGGTGCACCAAATGCGTGTGCGGATAGTTCTGGAAAAAAATATTAGGGCATTCTCCCGAACAGTAGTTGGCTTCGTAGCTTTTCGGTGCAATGATCCAATCCCATCCAAAAGATTCGAAATCCACCGTTAGAGGGTGCCTGCAGCAACGTGTCTCTTCTGAGTTTTCCTGGCAATTGAGTCCTGTTGTCCTCTTGATCCTTTTCTTTTTCAATGTTGCCACTTTAAGTTCTAAGAACGGCATCTGTAGGCAAAAAATTTAATTATTTTACTGATATATTTTAAGTTTGCTATAGAAATCACAAATATATTCAACTACAGTTTAGGAAAACATCATAGTGGATCAAAGCTACAAAGTTTAGAGAGTATCGCTACATGGATGATAGTAAAGTGACTTAATGGAGACGGTTTCGTTTTATGGGGTCTTCATTTCTATTGGTCAAGTTGTGTCCATTTTGGTTCAACTTTATCTATTAGCTTAGTCTCTATATCCATCTTAAAACCCTAGACTTTTACTTTTTTAAGTGTTATTTTTGTTTAGAAGTTTAATTTTGTTGTTTTAGTGATAGATATAACAGGTATGTTTTCATCTTATGTACTTTTAAAAATTAAGTACACTTTAATTTAATTTATTTTATTTATCCTTCTTTATAACTCAGTGGTAATAAAAGAAAAGCATTGAAAACTTGATTATCTGAAAATAATTTTTATTTGAGGCTACTAATTAATACAAATTGAATTTGTTACATTTTAAATTATTGTTGCTTCCTTTTTTTATAAATATATTTTCATGAAATAAAATATGGTATTGCAAAGAAGTCATTGTTTTTATCACTCAAAAACAAATACCCTCTTACTTTCTACCTTCAGTAGGTTTAGAAGTAAAATGAGTGTTTTTTTGCAGAATTTTTTTTGTTGCAAATTTAGATACATTATATTATATATAAATTATGAACCATTTTTTGGTTTGGCAAATAAGTCCTTTCGGTTTTTCTGTTTATTTTTATGTCACTGTGATACACTTCTTACCCGATGAATTAATCCCTAAGGTGGATTGTTTATCCTGTTTATAATATGTCAACAACTATATCTGTTAACTCTTGTAACTAGCTTAGTATTGTGTTTGCTATTGCACTGTGAATATGGAAGAAAATATCATTGATTATCGGCATATTTTGTTGTATTACTTTAAAAAAGGTAAGCATGCTGCAAAAGCTCATAGAAAAATTTATAGTGTTTATGGAGATGATGCCTTGAATTTTGACATCTATGATGCTCAACGATCTGGTTGCCAACATGAAATTGAAACGAGCAATGTTAAGGCCATAGCAGATCAAAATCCAACCCAATCAGTGCGAGAGATTGCTATGTCCCTAAATTTGTCGCACACAAGCATAGAAAACCATTTTTCACAAGCTCGGCTATGTTTCTAGGCTTAATGTTTGGGTCCCTCCCTCTCCAACTGAAGTCAAGTTGGCAACACGCATTTCTGTTTGCGATTCACTACGGAATTTTTCATCTCCTGTAACCAACCATTTTTGAAAAGGTTGGTTACAGGAGATGAAAAATGGATTTTTTTACATTAATGTAGTCCATAGAAAATCTTGGGGACCTAGTATTGAGGCTCCTAGATGAATGTCAAAATCCGGATTGCATCCAAAGAAGATAATGCTTTCCATATGGTGGGATTTCTTGGGTGTTATTTTCTATGAGCTATTGCCATCAGGTCAAACAATTGATTCAACTCTATACTGCCAAATCGGAAGAGTGTTGTGTTCCACCAAGACAACGCTAGGCCCGTACCTCATTGGACACTCGAAATAAATTATTGAGCCTTGGATGGGACCTTTTGCCCCACCCTTCCTATTCACCAGACCTAGCTCCAAGTGACTACCACTTATTCCAGGCTCTGGAGAACTCCATGAATGGAAGAAAATTCCAATAGGAAGAGGACATAAAAAAATTCTTGGATCAGTTTTTAACAATAAACTCCAGACATTCTATGAACATGGTGTTATGCTGTTAGTGGAAAGATCATAAATTTTATTTCTATAATACAATCAGTTTTATTTCACCCTAAAAAACCAAAAAGAATTATTTGTCAACCCAATAAAAAAATACCCAATAATCGTTTTCATTATCAACTATCAAAAATGATTAAATAGACTGATAATCATATTTTGAATTATGAGTATTTCAATTTTTTTTTTTTTTAAGGATCAGTTTCAGAAGAAAACATTAAAAGATTTAGAACAAGAAAAATAAATGTGACATCATAATAGACTGTTGAAGTTTATTCCAATATATTTAGGAAACAAGTTGTCATTTTAAGACAACTGTTATTATTTATTCATAAGTCCTAAGGGAAATGGTTTTTATCTGAGGTATGTAAAGAAAATTAAGTAAGCTTTACTCTCCCAATAATTTTTTCTTTATTTTTATTACGTTTCGGTATCACTTTATTATTCCATCTTCAGACCTTATCTCATCCTATCATCTTACTTTTTTAAAAAAAAGATTTGTTATAATTTTTTTTATATTTTCAAAAATCATGCCTTAATTATATTGTGGACTCCTCTAGAAAGAGCCTAGAAAGATTATTCTTATGATTATTATTCTTTAGTTTTATTTTTGCGTGATATAAATGATTTGTTGAGCTCATATAGCTTGCCTGCCCAACACCCATAAGATCTTCCAAAGTGTGCTAGTTAGTATGCTGCAATAATTACTATTGAAATTGAAATAAAAATGAAAAACTATTTAAATATAGTAAAAAAAAGGTTAGCATTTGCTGTACCGAATGGGAAACGTCTGAGGGGTAGACTGAAGCGAAGGTGAGAAGATTGCATTAAAGCCGATCTGAAGTGACTAGGTTTGGATGGCGAATGGTGGAGGGAGGAGTGTAATAAGCGATTGGTAGTGTCAGCATCCAACCTTCGGGTTCGCTAAGCCTTTTATTATTATTATTCCCACCAAACCAAAATGTCTGCCACTTCGCATTGTCCATGCTATCTCTATCAAGTCAATATAGATAAAAAATAAAAATAAACTGTTGCCCATGGCTTATTTAATAATTCATAAATATGTCCTCAGGTAGCAGAAAGATAGAGGATTCTTTATTTATGTTAATAATTTATTATTCACAAGATAGTAAAGATCTTAATTTGTTTTGATGATGTCTAAATAAGCAAATTGCTGAATGCCTAGTTATTACTGCTATTTGACATATTTAAGGCTTTGTTTTGTTATTTTGCAATAACATTTTAAAATTATATAGGACTAATACTCTGTTTCTCAATTCAAGAGAATTGAGATAAAGGAATAAGGTATTGAGAAGGTGTGCCTACATGCTATTCTGATAGTTGTTACAGAGGCATTGCTGTACTTATTATGTATCCTCTCCATTTCAGTTGATATCATGCAATTACATGAATGAAACATTATATATTCATATTTGGGATTCCTTATAGTGGGAAAAATAAGTTTATAAGATATATCTTTTCTTTTCATGTTATCATATTTTTGAGTTGAAAAAATATATAATAAGTATAATTAAGGTCTCTTCATTTATTATTATTTATTTTCTTCGTTAATTTGAAAAAGCAGGTGACAATATTCTGGACCTTATATAGATCACGGAGCTCCTGGTTGTTTCTCTGCCTCTACCGATCTGCCTCCCTCTAGAGGCCAACAATCCTTCTCAGCACTTTCCTTTCCCACAAACATTCAGCATTTGTTCTGACTTCTATGTGAGGACCCATGTCTCACTTCCATATGTTATCACTGGTCTAGTAATGTTAACATATGCGGCCCTCTTTAACTTCCAGAGCAACACCTTTGACCTAAGTTCTTTTCCTGCAACATCTATTCCCGGCCATCATGCGTAACTTTATTTCTATCTATATGTCATTCTATTTGAAGAAATTCCATGTCAACTTTGTCAATATCATTTTTACTTACATCTTCTGTGACAATATTTAAACTTTGTTTTAACACGTTTTCTAAAAAAACAGAGGTATGTTTTTTAAATATTATGAAGTCAGTAGTTAAATTCACTGAGATTTCATAATTTTCCAACTCTGTGTATGACAACAGTAAATCTATTTTTTTTTTTTATATGAAGCCACTCAGAAGTAAGGAATCACTTAGTAATTTTTTTTTTTTTTTTTTAAACATTACGAAAATTAGCTTAGCTGATATTATAGTAACATTACGTTGTTTTGCCTAATAAGAAGATGTAGAGAGTATTATTTTATTTCTATACTAGAAAAAATGTTAGACGAGTATGTTCTAGTAATACCATATCAGGATCAGGTAGTGATTGAGGACTGTTTCAATTATTAATAATATTCTCGTTTGCACTGTCGAGTGTAAGGTAAAATTGCATAAAACTGAAGCTATGGTGGCGTAGCTAGTTAAAGCATGCCATTCTCGAATTAGAATTGGTTCCTCTTCTGAGGAAAAACTATATTTTTATAATGAACTGAAAGAATGTCCATCTTCTTATTATGGTTAGCATAGGTTTGTTTGTAATTTGTAAATAACCTGCTTGGTGAATTTATCATACTCAAGAAATTAATAAAGAGATTCCTAAAGTATTTTTTTTTTTAAATCAAATGTTTCAGGGATTTAATGAATAGGAATAAATAAAGACCAAACATTTCTTTCATGATATTTTATATTATCAAACAACACATGTTTTTTAATATATACTTTAACAATTTTAAGTTGTGTTTAATAGGTTTTCTACATAAGTCATGGCAGTACCAATTTAATATACGTAGACATATTTATTTAACAATCGATGAAAATAATTATTTTTTAAAATTTAAATTATCGTTACATTATTTATATCCAAATTAATACTATTCTAAGTTTTCCCACTTAGAATTTAAGTAGATTTTGAAGACAAATTTGTTACATAAATGCTGCCATGTCGATATTCTTTGTGCTGTTTTCATTTATTGTTTTGGCACTGCTTTAGAGTGTCAAAATTTGAAATATGAAATAGATAACGCATAATTTTTTTTAAAACCGACTCGCTTTGCCAACATAGTACCCTGCTGATAAAATGTTCACATCGTCGAAGCAAGTATCACATATCAACGCACACTTCACTGTCCCTCTACCCAAAACTTTTTTTAGAGATCTTCTAATTACAAGCAGTCTTTTCTTCATTAAAAAACAATAATAATAAACAATAGAAATAAAATACAACAAACGATTTCTTCACTAATAACTTTCTCATTGCTGTAAACATTTAAGGAGTGACAGCTTGTAAAAAGACTTAAACATTTTTAATTTTAAAACAATTTATATTTTATAACGGGGAGTTATTTAACACGAATTAATGTTTGAAAAAAAAAAATGTAATCAATGTATTCGATAAACAAAAAAATTATAATAAATCAAAATGTCTTGACAAACAATCAGCTTAATTGTCTACAGCCTTTAACGTTTACATGTTTCCAGGAGAACTTTAGAAAATAGAAAAGTCACTATATATGTATATGATAAAAATAAAATACCATTTTTAAAAAATAAACTCCACTATAGATTCCCTGCTGCTAAAATTACAGTAAACCTTTATAATTTTTTTAATTACCATTCTTTTAAGGCAGATAAAGGCAAATTTGTTTCACTTATAGCAACGAGTACAAACTATTAATCACTGAATTAAATCTAAAATCTAAGCATAATCTAATTTAGATTTAAAAATAAAAAAAATAACTAAAAAAAAACTGATTAACAAAACAAATCTAGATATCCAAGATTTAATTTATCACACATAGTTCAAATATCTCTAATACTAATCTTCATAGCTAATGAAAATTTATATCACTTCAAAATCTTATTAAAAATACAACATTTATCACTATTTTGATCTATTAGTACAAAAATCACAAATAAAAAATAAATGATTAACATTTCTAACTTTTTTTTCTTCCAAGAACAATAAAAAATAAAAATGTTTTTACTCACAAGTATTTTATAAACTATGGTATATTTTTTTATAATCTACATTTCCAACTTAAAATACAAAAGATTTTATCACATTTTGTCATAAGCTCTACAATTATCATGCAATTAAACATAAATACCGCATCCGACACAAAATTGAACATGATAATTTTTAGTGTATATAATTTTTTTTTTTTGAAATTTTATAATTTTCATCCTTAATAAAAAACCAACATAATAAATAAATATCACCAGAATTTTCGAGTTCTCCAACAGAAACATACCTTGCGTTTTTTTTTATTATACAATATAATAATCGGTTTAGTGGATAGACATTTAAATGGTTGTGAACGGATCTAGATAACCTAGATGAGTTGAGGTATTAAGTTGGTTAGAACTCAGATTACATTAAATTAAGTAAACGAGGTAACTATTTCAAATTTCAAAAAAAAAAAAAAAAAAAAAGGATATAAAGAAAACTAGGAACAACCGCATCTATCCACTACCATTCCAGGAAGCAATCCGTAAATAATGTTAGAGTTTTGGTCAAAGTAGAGCATGGAGATAGAAGACAGTTTGCGTGGTGCGCAGCAAGGGCCGGAAGTACCAGAAGGGTTGGCGAGGTGTACGATGTGAGTGTGGGGATGCTGTTGGAGAAAGACGTAAGGGCACTCTCCAGAGCAGTAATTCGCTTCGTATCTCTTTGGAGCGATTATCCAATCCCAGCCGAACTCCTCGAAGTCCACCGTCAACGGGTAGCGGCAACAACGCCGTTCTTCGGAATTTTCCGGGCAATTGAGTCCGATGGTCCTTTTAGTCCTCTGCTTCTTCGTATTGGCAACGTGCAGCTCGAGGAAGGGCACCTGTGGGCAGAAATAACAATCCTTTACCTCCTGACTTACTCCATCCAAATTCTAACATAATCCATCCGTTACCTTCATCTTACTTCAATTTACCACTCTTCCATCAAACTTCAATTTACCTCTCTTCCATCCAACTCCAATTTACCTCTCTTCCATCCAACTCCAATTTACCTCTCTTCCATCCAACTCCAATTTACCACTCTCTTCCATCCAATTCCTAACTCAATATCCAGTCTTTATATTCTTTTAAATACGCGTTAGGAATGAGATATCGTTATAATTATAAACATTTAAAACATAGTCGATATTATAAAAATTTTTTGAAATATGAATATCGATGTAAATATTGATTCTCTAGCACATAGGCGCATGACAAAATATGATATTTTCTTCTTTAAATTAACTAATAGAAATATCAAGTCTTCTACCATCCTTAGTATAATTAATTTTCTAGTTCCTGTTCTTCTTCGTTATCCTCAGCTTTTTTCCAGAAATTTTCATTCAATCAATTATACCTTCCTCATGGATCGGATTCAGCGAAATGTTAATATATTTGCATCATACACAGATTTCTTTGACAATTCCGTAGTCTTGGTTTGAGAAGGTTCTAACCAACATATTTGGGCCAATTCAGTTTACTCCGTGAGAAGGGCTATTTAATTGTGCGCTATTTAATTCTACTTAGGGGCCATCGATAATCGATATTATCGAAATGATGATATTTTCCTCAATTACGCACTACTTTCTATATGAAACTGGCAAGATGTGCATATATATTTTTTCTAACGATCTGATTCATATGCAGGGTGTTTCAGTGTTAAGTGGTCAAACTAAAAATATGAACTAAGGACCTCAAAACAAGAAAAAAATTACCTATGAAGGTATGTCCGCAAAATCTTTGTTTGGAAGATATTCACACTTAAAGATTTTCATTGTTACGAATTATTTACGTTATATCATACGTTATATAAACATTAAATTCATATTAAATGTTGTTCAAAGCGATTTCCTTCAGTTTTAAGGATCGACATCTTTCTTCAACAGCAGCAGTGGCAGAACGGCACTGGATATGTGTTATTGTTTCACAAGATTCAATTATCCTTCTTTTTAAGGAATTTAGTTCATTGAACGGACTTGCACAGACTTTTTGTTCAATGTCACCTAAAACAAAAAAATCCAGTGGTGTCAGGTCTGGAGAGCGTGCAGGCCAAGTCACTGATCCTGCACGGCCAATCCATTGATTGGGATAATTAACGTTTTGTCATGGTCGTGGACCTCTTCCGTAATGTGCAGTACAAACATCTGATTGAAGTATAAATGTCCCTTCTCAGTTGTAGTGTGATATGTTCAACTAAATCATAGTAATCGTTATTAAGAAATTCTTGAGCTTTGGGGCTCCACCAAACCATCGAATTCCTATCGTATCCAATCCTTACTATCCAAAATCATCCGTAAAATCCTTAATGCTCCATACTTTGTCACAAATAAAACCATTCATAAAGACCTTAATGTGCCATATGTCGCTGATTTAGCTCGAGCCAGATATCTATCCTTTCATGATAAACTTCAGTCCCATCCAAATCCGCTCGTTTCTACTCTTGCTTCTTCCTCGATCCCTGATAATCCTCCAAGGCGTCTGAAAAGGAGATGGCCTCGTGATCTTCTTACTTAAAATTATTTAGGGATTGCTACCACTGGGTAGTATCTCTTCAACCTGTACATGTCATTATTTATAATTTGCGCATATTTACTAGTTGTATTTGTATACAGTTGTAAATTTCATTAAATAAACAAAAAAAAAAAAAAAGAAATTCTATTATCCTCAACCACACATTGCACTGAAAGTACTACTGAAAATAATGCTTACGAATTGCATGGAGATTTTCCTGCAACAAGAGATGATTATTTTCTGATTGAAGATACCTCTTCTTATAAACGTATTCATCTGTCAAGAGTTTTTTTTTGAAAATTGTTGATTAAACTCAACTTTATTTAAGTACCAATCTAAAAAATTTCTTTTTCGCCGAAAATCTTGCGGTAATAAATTTTGTTGTTTTACGGACATATCTTCACTTTTATCAACATTTAATATGAATGTTAATGCTTAAATTTAATTAATAAAGTAGTTAGAACAAATAAATAGGTACTATTTATTTCATATGACCTAAATAATTCATAACAACAAAAATGTTTAGGCGTGAATATGTCCTAAACAAAGCTTTAGTCCTGAAACACCCTTAAACAAATGTATAAGCGCTTATATATTCTATATAACTTGTAGCGCTTATATATAACTATATTAAAACGTAAATGTATTGGTAAACTTTTTTTTTTAAATTGCCACCGATTTCATGAAATTGTAAGAGTTCCTTTGCGATTATTCTTTCTGCTGCTTAAACAGCGATACGGACTTATCTGCGATTCTGTCTAATATTGTCGTGGATAAATGATGTTTTGGAAATTGACGTGTCTTTCTACATAAAACAAGGAGAAAGCCTTCACATAACTTGAGCTAATGGACGTTTATGTATTACTTCTCATTTTTTATATAAAATTTGATCATCTTATTTTCTAATAAGAAAGAGCTATGACATAATATGATATAATCTTTAATATTGTTTATAAATGTGAGACGGTTCTGAAAATTAGTCTATTTATATTTGGATTTTATGGTAAGTGGTTAAACACTAATATTTAATAATTAATACATCGAATTTTATTATTATCATTCGACTTTTCTGTTTTTTCAGTGCCAGCACAATTTGTTAATATTATGCAACTTATATCATTTATTATCACTGACGTTCCTCAGACTTGGGTTTGGAGTAATATGTGGACATTGTTGCAACTTGCTGTAGGTAAGTTTTATATTTCAAACTTAGACATTAATATTCAAATAAAATTTATTTTGATCATGAAAGGTCAATATATCGATGTGTATTTTACGTACATTGGTGATCCTTATTACAGATGAACCATTGTTGATTGTCACTATAAATTAATAGATTGACAAATATTATGGATTAATGTTCAAACATTCAATGCTTCATGCGCACACTGTTCAAGAAATTCTTCTAACCTGCAATGAGCTTTATTTTCTTCTCAAGCACTACATGAAGCAAAATAACAAGATTGTTAATCAGTCACAGACATTAAAATCCGAACTCCAGGATTTTTAACAGTAAAGTTGTTATTTTTATTAATTACCTGGTTAACGCACCAATTATGGATAGGGGGCCCAGTAATGGACAAACTTTAAATGTAAATAATAAGCTTCCTTGTTAATTTAAAGGTTCCAGTTTTTTCTAGATTGAAGAACAATGCCCTCTATTGACAACTGTATGAACAAAGTTCACAAAAGAAAGCTTTAAAATGCCTTTCATTGTTGTTTCTGTAGCGCTCTCTAGTGTTGCCCAAAGAGGAGACCGAGAAGAGTCTTGGTCTTGCAATCTCAGTCTTGGTCTAGGTCTTGGTCTTGCACAAGACTCTCGTAACAGTCTTGCAGTTGTCTATTAGCTTATTACTAGAGAGATATTACTGTAATTTTTTAGATATGAGAAACCTAGCTAAGTGTGAATGAAAAATTAAAAGAGTTAAATGCAAAAGTATATTGGTTACACAAATTCTTTATATATAGTAACTAGAATTGTCAAGTATTAGTAAATATTTTTCCTCAATTTTTATTCAATAAATCGATTTTTTTACCAGTCTTGGTCTTGGTCTTGCGACATATAGGCAGTTTTGGTCTTGGTCTTGCAAAGTGCATGACCAAGACCGATTTTGAGCAACACTAGTGCTCTCGACTTCAGTGTGTTTCATACCTTCCTACAACCAGTTTTACTAAGATTAAGTTAAACATTTATGTTATCTTATCTTGACAGTTCTTTCTAAAGTTAAATAAAGATTTAGAATTTTTCTGAGGTATGTCCATTACTGTTACCGGTCCCCTGTCCATTACTAGAACACTTGCCGTTCGCGATTTTCATTACTAGTACAAAAAGGTGTTTTTTAAAAACGGAGATTATACCTGCATAACTGAATATTTTTAAATTTTAAAGTACTAAATAGGAAACCATAGAGATTCTAAATGTCCAACGGAGAAGGTTATAGAGAGAGAACAAGACACAAATATAGCAAGGCAATTCCTTGCATACACATAAAAAGATAAGATAATATTAAAATTAAATAAATAAATAGATAGGTGACAAAGGACATCCTAAATTCACAGTCAATTGCTATTCAAGTGATAGTGGATGATCCCCAGGGAGTACAGAACATTATTTTCGGCCAACATCGCAAGTTTCCCAACATCAACATCTAGTTCCTCGAGGAAGCTCCTTGTTCTTTTTGGGGTAGTTCCGCGGGACCCACATTATAGGCCTCTCACGGTGATCTTTCTCTCTCCGAAGGTCTCACGGTACTTCTCTTTTAGGAAAGGGATACACTTATGGTATATGTTTTTCTTTTCCCTTTCCACTTCACCCGCCTGATCGAAGTCATTGTACATTGTACATCGAGGTAATAATTACGACGCCATAAGCCCCAAAAAACAAAACAATTTCATTAGCTATGCCCTGGTGCGCTTATCCTACTCTTGAGATAGATCATATGATATTCGTAAAAAAAAAAAAAACTAGTCACTAGATGGTTTTGGGTTTAGTATTTAGTAAGGGAGCACTTTTTTTTAGACCAACGGTTGTGCATTAGGCCGTGATCACGCTCAACTGCCAAATTTTCCTTCTTATCTAATTATTTTATTAAGAGTACTAACTTTCTCCTGATTGCAGGATCGATCCAAGCCGGATGTAACAGAGTAAACAATTACCTGTCACTAGAATCTGGAGCCTCGAGCATAGAGGCATAGTGCCTTACTCACTAAGCTATCTTTATATTAGTGATATGATGTTAGTAGTGTAATATAATTTGATACTAACGAAAGACGACGCATCGTTGCGAGTGGAGGTGACCAGAAGCCTCTGGGTGAGCGAGGACAGCTCCTCCTTGCCGTGCTCCTTGATGGACGCTTGGACCGCCAAGCTCATTGGCTCGTTGGGCATCTTGAACCACTCCGAGACCAGCGGCTTCACGTCGACCTTCACCCAGTGTCCTTTCGAGCCCCAGGTTCGAGCCTCCTGTGGAATAATTTCATAAATTATTATCAAAATAAAACAAATATTAAATAAGTCCATAATAAAGTGAAAACTCTTGATTAAGGCACCTCCATTTAAAAGTCAATTTTAAATTTTCCAACACTGGAGTGTACAAAAACAATTTTACTCAGATATGATAAATTTAATCAAAATCGTTAGAGACGTTCGAGCAAATCACAAACATGTTTTTAGTCCATTATATGAAGTGCCACTTCCGGTATGTGGGTTTTGACGAAAAAATTGCTATAACGTCCCCAGCATAGAAAAACCTTTTATTTATTTTTTTGTTCTTCCCTACCTCGCCATTTAGGCTATACGGGATATCTCTGGGACGGAGGGTGAGGGCAGGGGAGTTAAAATCCCCTCCGGCACCGGGACGCGAACTCGTACTTAGTTTTGTCAAAACTTCATATATCTGGTTGCCGGGCAACTCGCGGTGCTGTGCACATGCTTTTGCCCAATTGGCCACCCCGCTCCCTAACATAGAAAAACCTAGGGATGGGCGATAGTTTTCCACTATAGATAGTTCGATAGTATCGACAAAAACTATCGATAGTAACGATAGTTCAGTAATTTCCCAATACAAACTTACAGAGGATTTATTTTCGCTGTATTCTTTGGTTATTTACTTTAAAATACTGCATACACTTTATTATCAATAACATTTATATTGGATACATTCTTAAAGATTCATGTTAAGCCACTAATAATAAAAGTTGATAAATAAATAATTAAAAAAATTATTGGCGGTAAAAGACATTTATATAGAAAAATAGATTGCATTTATTTCCCTGATTGTAGAATTCAAACAAGAAACACCGACGATATTTAGGTAGTATTTTTTAAACTATTTAGTAAAAAAAGGATGCGAGAAATGCTCGCCTTTTAATTTCCAAGATTCTAATTTTCTAATATTTTTTTGATAATAGAACTTACTTTAAAATATAAGTATGACTGTTTTTTTATATATTTTTTAATTTTTAATTTACTTATCTTTAGGTTATTTTATTTTTTATTGTACATAGTTTTTGATTATTAATTACTTTTGTTTATTTTATATTTTCTTTATATAAGGTGTGAATTTGTTCATATATCACTATAATTATTGTCCACGTGACAGATTTTTATATTTATAAATAAACAAAAAAAAAAAACAATTTAAAATATAATAAAACTGAAATGGCTTCCTTGTAGATTTTATAAATATATTTTTTATGAAAAAAATAAATAAAAAAGATGAAGTAAGTGTAACATTTTTTTTTCTTTGGCACAACTGGAAGAAAGTAATTTGAGATTAAATTAAATTAATTTTTAACATGAAGGCTTCTTGTTCGATTTTGTTTCAGTTTTATATATTGATAAGAATAGCTTTTAACATGCTTTCACACCTCCATCTATTTATTTTCTTAATGTGGTGTTTCCATTATACAATAACAATTTTCCATTACTAAACATTTAACTTTCATATTATTATATTATCACTATAGATGAATATTTTATTTTATAGAATATGAAAAGTATGTGTGAACGGTATCCGGTTAATATAATTGAGATGATTAAGTTGAGGCGAATAAAATGGGTATGTAAAATCGCTGGACTTAGTAACGAAAGAATTCCTAAAACGTTAATATGAGTCGTTCCGACTGGCAAGCGTCCGAGTGGTAGACCAAAGCGAAGGTGGGTTGATTGCGTTAAGGCTGATTTGGCGGGGTTGGTTTTTAGACGAAGCCCGGTGGATGGGAGAATATGGACATCGATTGGTGGTATCGGCATCGAACCTTCAGGTTCGCTAAGCCTTATTATTATTATTATTATGAAAAGTATGAGTGAGTTGAGGATTGCCAATGACCCTAGTGGGTAGAGGAAATCAAACAAATAAATAAATTATCACTATATCTCGAACATCAGTAGTGGATCCAGAATTTAATATTTTTTTTGGGGGGGAGGAGGGGGTGCTTCAACTCAAAAGCTTTTTTTTTTCATAAAAATAGCAATAATTACTTTGGAAACAAAGAAAGAAACTAACTACCTACATGAAATGGTGTTTAAGTGATTCCTTAAGTCCTTTTTAATGTAATTACACAAACAATAATACTTTAAGAGATAATTTTTTTAAATGTTTTTCCATAAAACATGGTTATATTTTACCATTTTGTGGGGGGAGGCTTCAGCCCCAAAGCCTCCCCAATCTTGATCCGCCCATGTCGAACATCAATGAATGGGTAAAAATATGAAGGCGTGTTATTGAAGTTATTTCAGTAAGTGAATGCAGTTTTACAATATTTTTTTCAAAGGGGAAGATACGAACTATCGATAGTCACTAGGAATATCGATCGAGCTATCGATTATCGACCATCCCTAGAAAAATCTTAAGTATGCAAATTTCACTTTCGTACGACTTTTCATTTTTGAGCTAGACTGTAAACACACACACAGACTATTTTAGGGACTTGGTTATTTGGACTCAAGAGATCCCAAAACTTGTATTTCAGTTGAAAACTGAGATTCGAAAATTTTCACGATTGCAATACTTTACTATATATTTCATATATAGGTAAATGAAAACAAAAAATAATAATCGCTGAACTATGAATGCTACCTTGATAGTATTGATTTCAGTGAGCGTTGGAGGTTCGTCGTCGGAGGCGACTTTGAAGACAGTGATCTCGATGGGGTGGGCGTCCTCCCGCGGCGTCGCCCTCAAGAAGAGCCAGAGGTAGGCGTTCACCGCTCGGTTCTCCAGCATTTTTTCCGAAAACTTAAAATTGAGCAGTTCTTTTCCTTTCAGGTGTCGCATCTTAGGATCTGAAACAGATATTGACGTTTAATACGGAAAGTATACTTGATAACAGAGGCGTTATTATACATAGGTTCCAAAATACTAGAACATCAGACAGTGGCGTAATAATAGTTATTCTGGAGAGTGATATCTTTGATAGAAAATTTTTTCTAAAAACTCAACATTATTCTAGAAAGTACTTAAAAGTTTAGAAAATATTGAATATTACGAGGCAGGTGGGATTATAGATTAGGGTTTCTGAATTGGGAGCGATGGATATAAAAAAAAAGAAATGCAAAAATTCTACCTAATTATTGTAAGAAATGGCGCATTACAATAAACGAATCCAAATGTAAACCTTCACCCTTTGTCGTAAATCCTGCCCACCAGTTTATTTTAATACCATCCAGCTTCCTTTCTCAGATACAGCCCGGTACCTTGGCTTTCTCTTAAACCGACGATACGGCCAACTATACCGACTACTAAACTAAAGATCTACAAGACAATACTGAAACGTATTTGGATTTACGTACTACAACTGTGGGGAACAGCAAATTTTTCTGTCAAGCGCATCCAATCCTTCCAGTCAAAATAGTCGATGCTTCTTATACATCTTCTTATACTCAAGACATGAGTGTGTGTGGCTAAAGTGCTCTCAATCAATCTCCGCTGGCTTAGTACCAGTGATGCGGTTGAGAGAGTAGCACAGGATTCTCCTGGAGTTCCCTCGTCTGATTGTGTTTTTTGCTTAGTTTTAATTTTCTTATTTTTAGGTTATTTTATTTTATTTATTGTATATACATTTTGATGTTATTATAATGTTATTTTACCTCACTATAACTAACGTCCATGTGACAGATTGTTGTAATACTCAATAAATAAAATTTGGAATTAAAAAAAAAAAAAAATATATTGTGAAACGAACAAATATAACATCGCTTATTTAAAATTAATTTGTTTATGTGTTTGTGTAGTAATAAGGGTTTTTATTTATGCATTTTTGTTTTACTTATTATATATATTTGAAAATAATAAAAGGCTTAGAGAAAATGGCGAAAACTAGTACCCCTTAGTAGGGTTGCCCAAATGCGAGAACGAGACGAATCTTGGTCTCGCAAACTCATTCTTGGTCTTCTGCAAGAGTCTCGCAACGGTCTTGCAGTTATTTATTAGCTTATAGAGATGTTACTGTAATTTTTTTAAAGAATTTGTTACTGAAGTAATGCTATTTTTTTTAGCATATTACTAATGATTAAAAAAAAAGTTTAGTCTAATAATTGGAATCATCTTTTATTTAATTTACTTTGTAACTAGTAAGGTAATGTTACTTTAGATGTATAATCGTTTGGAAATAATAAAACATTGTGAAATAATTTTCAGCGTTTTTTTTTTTCAAAATTAGCCGTAGTTGAGGACGGATATCTTGGAAACTAAGCGAGATAGCGAAAATAAAAGTATATAGTCAATCATACTGAAAATTTTATCAGCTTTAATTTTGTATATAACTTTTTTGTCGATTCGATCTATAGTTTTCCTGATAATAGCAAAACCGGAATAAAGTGACCTTTTTAACGCCTCCCCAACATCTGTTTCACATTTTAAGAGTGGGGGCTTTTAGTATGTTTACCTCCCAACAAGTCTAAATAATGTCACAAAGCCAATAATTGTGTCCCCGCCATTTCCTTCTATAATCATTCGTTCACTGAACTAATTATGATTCTAGTCAGTAAATTTCATGCATGTCAAGATCCTTAAGAGCCATGGGTTTTGCTCGAAGGTGTAACGCAACCAACTTCAATCCCAATTTTAAATATTCTTAAACGTAAATTTCTATAATTATATACAAAAGTGTTCAATTAGATACGCAAGTACATTTTCTTAAAATGGATAGGGTTATTTCTGTAGTAATTTATTTTTTACTAAAACTTAATATCAATATTATGAACGTATATTTCTTTTTAAAATAGTTCTACTAAGCTGCATACATTCCAGGAAAAGAATATTTATCAAGAAAACAAGTCAAGAGAAAACAAGACATGACAATAAAATGAATGAATATGTTGAGTTTTATGAATGGTTCGGATTCGATAGAAGACAAGAATAATGAGCGATTAATGGTGACAAAAGGGAATAGGTTTTTAAAAGCTAAAGATGGATTGGCCGATGTTGTAAGTCACGCAGGTCCCATATGGTCGATGATCCCGACCTCTTGCGATCGTAACCGCAGGTTTATTATATACTTATAGCAATTATAATAATATTGATTAACATAACAATTATATATAATTTAATAATTTAGAAAAAAATAAAGATGAGTAGCTGTGCGCGTCACAGAACTATCGCAATCACTATCTTCGGTAATAATTAATTAATGCAATTTAAGAACTGTTACATTAACTATAAATATAAACACAGTACAATCAAACAATTATTTGTTTATGAAATTTACAACTGTACAAATTAATATATATTCAGCAAATGTGATACAAAGAAATATATGACGTGACAAGGCTTACAGAGAACCTCCTCATTGGTAAAACTCTAATAAAGTATCTAAATTAGGAGATCACGAGGCCATTTTCTTTGCAGACGCCTAGAGAGGTTATCAGGAATCGAGGAGGAAGTAAGGTTATAAACGAGAGGATTAGGATGGTTTTGAAGTTTTTATAGAAGGATAAATATCTGGATTGGGCCAATGCGGTAACATATGGAACATTAAGGTCATTATGGATTATTTTATTTATTACAAAGTAAGGAGAATTAAGGTTTTTGCGAAGGATTTTGGATTGTAAAGACGATAGGAATTCGATGGTTTAGTGGAGCCCCAAAGCTCAACTCCGTAAGTCCAAATAGGTCTTATTATAATCATGCATATGAATCTTTTGTAATTAATTGGAAGTTTAGAGCGTTTGTCTAGTAAGTGCTGAAGTAGTCGGAAACATCGAGCGGTTTCTTGTCGTTTCAGTCTGGTATGAGGATTCCAAGTTAGACGTTTGTCCAGATGGAGTCCTAGGTATCGGGTTTGCTCAACAGGGATAAGTGGAGTATTATTAAAGGTTACTGTAGGACAGGAATTCATAGTACAATCTGTACAAAACGTAACAATTCTGAGCCACAACTAGCCCATTTACGAGTATCTGTTGCTCCAATACCAAGTAAAAATTCCGCCTAGCCAATCACTTCCTGTCCATTCAGTTCCAAAATGAATGAGTTATTTCAAATTTTGAATTAAAGTTTATAGATATGTATTAACACATTATTCGAAATATTTTAGCTATTATCATGGTGGATAAATAGCTGACTGTACAAATGGCTTGGAAGTTAATTGTGGGCTGCAGTCAGAGAAAAATTAAAATTAAAAAGAAAATTATTTTATATCGACATAAATTCGAGTTTCAGGCCTTCATCAAGTGCCTGATAACATGAAAATAACATAATATGGATGATTATATATCAAGTTATTCAAAAAAATGATTTTTTTTACCAGTCTTGGTCTTGCAAAGTGCAAGACCAAGACCGCTTCAGTGCAACACTAGAGGTTTTTAATGAATACTTCACCTCTTTTAATAAAATTAGTAGTCTCTATATCAAGACTAAGATAGATCTAGACCTGAAAAAAAAAAGGATAAAGGATCTTGAAGCCATCTTTTTAAATAGTCATAGTTTAAGATCCCTCTCATTACATAGATCAAGATATACAGCTTACTATGTTAGGATTTTGACAGTACTGGGAAGTGAGAAAACAGTAATTACTTTTTTATTTCTGGGTGTTATAATTAAAAATTTTACTAAACAATGAATGTTAGTATGCTTCCAAATCGATAGATTATGAGAAAAGACATATGCAACTGCTTTCAGTTGTCTTTTGACTTTAATTTTGAGATGACTTTTATATTTGTTATTATATAAATGGAAAAAGTAAAACTAGATAGATAGATAGATAGTTTATTTTATTTGTCTAAGGAAATTCCTGTGCAAATAAATATAATGGTATAATTAACAATGTTAAATCTTGAAAAAGTAAAACTATAAAGGCTTGATTCTCCAACATACAGGTGGACAGATAAACTACCTACGTTTCGACAATTCACGTATCATCAGGGCAGAAAAAAGAAGATCACATGTGTGCAGAAAGGAAGGTTGCATAAACGCTGCAGAGGAAGATTATATTAAACAGCTGATTAGCTTCTTTTTAAGCTCTATTGTTCATTTATATGATGTGATTAGTGGAGTATCTGTGTTTCCATTGGGTTATGTTGAGTGTATGTGTTATATACAACTTGAAACATTTTCTTTCTTTCTTTTTTCTTAGGGATTTCTTCAATATGAAGTTTTCCTCAACCAAACCCTTGCTTCAACAAGTCTCTCCATCTTACCGAGTCCATCGCATCCTCCTTGGACAGTCCTCTACCAGCCATACTCTCCACCACTCTATCATTCCATCTAACTGTGGGTCTTTTTCTCCTTCTCCTACCCTCTGCCTCCCAATCCAGAATTATCTTAGGTATCCTATTGTCGCTCATTCGTCTCACATCTCATCATCTCTTCCATCACTTCTAGGATATTTTGTTTTATTTCGAGTCTCTCCCTGATTATGACGTTTCTTATCCTTCCGGTCCTCGATATTCTAGCAGCTCTTCTCCAAATATCAATTTCAACTGAAATACATTTTTTACCCTGGGTCATACTGAGGGGCCATGTTTCTGAACCATTTAGCATTAAGCTTTCTGCCAAAGCTTTTAGTCCGGGAGCCAATGACAAAAAATGTGTCATATTTCATACTAAGATTAGTCCTTGTAAATTGATCATATCCACAGGCCTGATGAAAACAATGCTTGTCTGTCAGCATATCGCCGCTGGAATACAAAATGGTGGCATTGCGGAGATAAAAAGAAACTCTTCATAAGTTATAAGCGTAGGGCTTATAGATATATAAAGCTACTAACCCTTTCAATTTATAGTATCTACAGTTTTAAGACATGAAATAATAGTCAGTTACTCCATGCCCGTGTATTTCACGCCGAAA